CGGGCTCGACGAAGTCCGATCGATCTCTTCACCGATGTGACGTCAAGAGTTTGACGTTTGCTTCTGGCCCTCACGCTGGTTTTTTGCAACATAATTATAAAAAATATCAAAAAAATCCTGAAATTTTACAAGCGGGTAAATTATGTTGTTAGACTGATTTTTAATAAGCTGATTTAAGTTGTTATTTAACGTCACTCTCGGGTCACCAGTGAATTGTATGGGCTATGAGCAAAGCTAGCTCTGTGTTTAGGATCAAAATGAGTAACTATTTTCTTTGATAATTTCTTCTGTTTCTTAACAAATTTATTTTCATTGTAAATAATACAATTTATAAATATATGTGAAATAAACAATTATGAACATTAAAATTAATTTCGGTTATTAAACAAGACTGCGATAACAGTTCATACTCTTCAGTATTTATCTTAAATGAGGTTATTGTGCAATGAATACTCAATGCCAAGATACGAAATGAGCCTAATAACGGTTGGTTGAGTTAATATTAATATAATTATTATATTGTTATGTGACGTTTACCATTAACATTATTTTAATTCATAATTATTGACGGCTGAAAGATTTTTAATGCTGCCAATTTATAAAAATTTCAAGGATTACAGGAGCTACAAGAATTTTAAAAAAATTCAACGATGATTCACTACCAGTCATTGGCTGGTTTATCCTAATTTCTAAGAGAATAATACTAATACTTACATAATAATAATTACTACTTCATCTATGGATTGATTGCTTCAACAGCAGAATGCGTTGTTTTAAAAATTCTGAAGAAAAAACACATAAATTTTTTCTTCCCTCTGCAGTCGTGGCCACGGTATTCATCTAGTACATAGCGCTGAAACCTGGTAATCTGCGGTGATCTTTCAAACCGGTGACGGTGAACATTTTAAGTCTCCAAATTAACCAAAATTTTGATAGTTATTCACACGTTTCATCATATTTCTTTCTTCCCCAAGAAGAAGTAAAAGTGAAAATGATGAGTTTACTAACTACAGAGTGACTTTTTGATTGTGTCGAGCAACTGTGCTGCTGAATCGAATTTTATTCGTAATTTTCGGAGAATTACTTAGTCACTCAGCTTGCGGCAAAATATAACGATAATTATAACAAATAAATAAAAAGAGTAAACTGAAAAACTTGCAACAAGTATAGACTCAAAAGTGCGTTTAATATATACAGTAACTTATAGAGGTAAAATTGCACACAAGTCATGTATACAGGAAATCTACTGTAGTTGGGGTACATAAAAAAGTCATAGTATAAGCGACAGGCGACCTGCAGTGCCGTGCATTGCAGGTCTGTTTACCACAGGTTGCCTTGACGTGGCGGGCACAAAGCGATGTTGTGGCACAGGTTGCATGGTTACTGAAGGCCTCCATCGTTCACTAGGTGGACCAGCTCGGCAGTGCTGCTCATGGTCAGAACTAGACCAGGTCCCGCAGTTCCATTATCATAGAAATTTTTCTAATTTTTTCTATTATATATTGTCCGATATTATAATTGCATAAGTTGAAAGAATCCTGCTAAGGATATGTTCCTCCTATTGAGTTCAATATGAATTACTTTGATTAGAAACAACAATTTTTACGTTTCTAACATGTTACGCTTGGAGTGGATCTGATACTTTTTCGAATTCCAAAGTGTTGCAATTAACTTTACTTTAAAAACGCCTAATTTAATATATGCAAGTGAATATTTCGCTTAAAAATTTATGAATTCTTCACTCAGATAAATGGATTGGTCATAGTGTCCTAATAGTGCCACTCTTTCTACTCGTTGCACTCATACGTCAGAATTTCAGGCCAAAATGGACAAGAATGACGCACACAAAGGCAAATTGTGTATTGATATTTTGACAATGCGTCATTCATTTTTGTAAGTGTTTATATTATTACAAATTACTGAGAATTGATAGTTTTTCAAGTTGGGGGTGAGTTTATTAGACTTGAATAAGTTATAGATTGTCATTTATAAACAGCGTTCTCATAAATTGCGCTTTTCCAATCGTCAGGAATAAATGAAATGTAATAAAGTTCATTTACATCTTGTCGCCAACAGGAGAATTTAAGTGACTCCATTCATTTCCTGACTCCAAAATAAAATAATAATAAAGCTTTAAATAATATTGCAATATAACTAATGAATCTTGAAAATGACGTCGCCATATGTCAAGTGTGCGACCTGGGCAGCGCTTGCGTTGCTGTACTCCGCAGCGATCGCTCCCTGCAATGCAATAAGTAAGTAATATTATTAAACAAGCAATATTTTTAAATAAACAAATTTTCAAGTAATATAAATGACTTATTAGATGAAATTTATTAGATGAAATTTCATTAACGAACGAAGTAGAGAGATTTTGCATATTTTTTCGAAATATATATGAAATTTGTGTCATTACTATACTGGTTCAATTAAATTTCTAACAAATATGTGAACAGGATTTTGAGGCGAAAATCAATTCATGAAGTAGTGAGCGAAAAATTATAATATGGTGTAATATGTACAGTATAACATTTTACAATCTTGTATACAGCAGTAATACCGTGTTGCCTAAAATCTGTATATATAAATGATAAAATAATTACAAAATTATATATATTATTATAATATGCATAATAATATTGTGAAATAAAAGACATAATATATTATGTAATTATAATATGAGTAGTTAACGTATAAGATAATATGCGATAAGATAAAAAAGAAAGTAAATATTAGCGATTAATATAAACATCAAAATCTTAAGGAATATGTTCATTTTGGTTAATTTTTCATTTAAAAATGCTTTATTAATCTTGCTTCGTTTGTTTCGTAGTGAAAGCTTTGATCAACTGGACGTTGTATGTAAGGATAAAGTCTGCTATCCCTAAAATTTAACAGACTGCCTCAGCCATGTGGCTAAACAAAACAAACTGAGATCACAGAACTCGTAATCACCGAACAAATTTCAGTGCACCGAAATATATACTGTTTAATTTGTGAAGATAAATGAGGAACTCAATGCTAACGAGTAATTATTATTTCTGGCGGTCTTAATTGAAGTCGCTAATTACCTCACGATAAATAACAGTCTGTGCTGCGCGTTGGTGGAACATGAATAGCCAACGAATAGCCGGAACTAACATACTGCTAATTTTTAATGAGCTTTAACGTTTATTTCAGACGTGAACATGTATAGATACGCGAACATTTAGAATTATATATTCCTTCAACAGTTAGAGACGGGGGCTGGACAGAATGGTCAAAGGTCATGTCGACTTGCACAAAAACCTGCGGGAATGGAACGCAGTTACAAATCAGGACGTGCACTAACCCTGCCCCTGAGGGCGCTGGTGCCAAGTGCATTGCAATGAACGGCACTTTAAGTGACACCGAGACCCGTACAGTGCCTTGCAACACTGAGGCCTGCTGGAGTAAGCAAGTTTTTCTAAGAGCTTAAAGTGATAAGTACATTAGATCAGAGTTCATTGATAAGAAATGAAGGACGATGCGTATAATTTAATGAATTCTAGTAGCAAAATGCTAGTAGCAGCAGCAGATTCAAAGAATTTTTCAATTGAGGCAAGCAATAATCTCAAAACATTAGTATGCTGTTTCGAAAGTGTTATCAGAGTTATTTTTTCAGGAATGTTTTGCGCACTGTGCGCCAAAACGTTTATAGGATTTCTCATAAAATCTCCCGAATTTAATCATAGGTGTTTAAAATTGGGTGCTGCAGATTATTCTGCATCTTTTTTTTGGAAATTCTCGCTTCAGTTAAATCTGTCGTGGGCAGCTTCACAAACGATTGTATATAAACTCATTCAAATTAACAGGAGCTGAAGCCAACTGTGCTGAAATGGGCCGATGTTTATTCATGAGTTTATTAGCGTCACCTAATTTCTATTTAATTATTTCTAAAGAAAAATATGTTTGATTTACTAATATCGATCAACATGAATCATTATTGGGGTAATCCCTGCGTTTGTGTGATCCAAAATAATTGTAAATAAAATTTAAGTGTTGAAATTTACAGTTTGAATTTAAAATATAAAACAACATTTGAAAATACCTTATATTTCGAATAAGATTAAAGCTCTCTTCCACATTTCCACTGCAGCTCAACAATGGAGTAACCTGACCGCATGCAGTGCTAACTGCAGTGTAGGGCTACAGCACGCGTATGCCATGTGCGGGGACCAAATCTGTACCGGCGATCAGAAGCAAGTCAAGACAATCGAATGCAATACCTGGGACCCCAAAACCTGTCCTGGTACGTGAATATTTCTTACGTAAAGAATTTTAAAAAAATTATATTCTTCTATGAATAGAATCTAAAAAACTTTACAGGAAATCAGAAGTGACCTTTAGAACTTCTGATGTGTTGATATTAGAAGTGGTCATGTTCACTTTGAATGCTTTATTATTGAATCCATTCAATGGTCACGTATATCATAACATTTTCACATATTAATAGATAATGTCATTCAAACTTTAACCGCACGAGATATAGTTTAAATTTTAATGGATCTCGTGTAAAGACTCGAGAACAAATATAAACAGTCCCATATCAAAATCAAAAATGTTCAATCAAAATTTGTAACTTGAGAATGGTCGCCATTCAAACACCACATTTTTGTTTTTTGACCAATAATCTTTATCATTGTTAAGTGTGACAAACATTGTCGCTCATTTTATGTTGTTTTCCAATAAATATCTCAACAGACTTTTTTGTAATAATTCGTTAAGCATGGTAAACATTGTCGCTCATTTTAAGTTGATTTCCAATAAATATGTCATAGACTCTTTTGTAATAAATCGTTTAGCGTGCTAAGCATTGTCGCTCATTTTACGTTGTTCTTCAATAAATATGTCAACAGATCCTTGCAAGACGTACGTGTGTCCCAAATACTCGGTGTGCGTGAACATGTCAAACTCGACGCACAGCAACCCTGTGTGTTCCTGCACGATGGGATACGCGCTCATCGACGGAGCGTGTATTGTCCAGCTGTTGTGCCGAGTGGTATCGATCGCGCTGCACTTTTTCTTCACGGCTGTGTTCATGTTCATGATGCTGGAGAGCCTGCACATGTACTCTCTCGTTGGCTCCGTCGTCAAAACAGACGGCATGTTCACCCCCGCACAAAACCTGCTACTGGGATGGGGGGTGCCTGCCTTCGTGGTGCTCTTCACCATGTGCTTTGAGTTCCACAACTACGGTGGAGTCTACCAGTAAGTTTACCCTTTGAAATACACCATGCACTCATAATGCATATGTCATATTTTTTCCTTAGTAATATACTGTAAAACTCATAGCACGAATAAACAGCAAACCAATTTGGAACAAAATGAATCACACAAGGACAAAAAGTAAATCTTTATTTGATAAAGTTTGGTGAGTGTGGGCATATTATGTTGAATCAACGTTGATTCAACGTTTAGTAGTTGAATTTAATATGTTTGAATGTTGCTTTAGCGTTATTTGTCTGTAAAGAAATAACTTTTTTATAAATCTGTTTTTCCACCCGTGATGATGTAGCTTCCTGACGAGCTTTTTTGGTGATATATATATATTATTATGAGTGATAAGTGATAATCATGAGGGTTCAATTCTCCGTTGAAAAATAAGAGATTCGAAACTTCTCCTCATACTATATTAATTAGGTATCTATTAGCTTTTTGACCTGCTATATAATATCTTGTCGGATTTGGTTTAATCTGACCTGAAAAATTGAAATTCCTACCTACAAATTTGATCTTCAGAATTTAGTTTTTAATTTTTAAATTAAAAGAAATCTCCAATTGAATTTTATTAATCTCCCAGCTGCTGGTTACAAATGGACCAAGGCATCAACTGGGCGCAGCAGTGCCCCATCTACGCGTTGATGATAATCATGCTCACCCTCACTGAGGCTGCCGGGCTGTCCGACTACAAACAGTTGAATGGTGAGTACATTATTTCTTGGGAGAATATATTCTTTATTCACGCAGTCACGCAGGAGCATAAAAAAATCATAACAAGAACATATTGCAAATTTTGAGAAAAAATACAGAATGCTTCCATGTGAATGCCCATATAAGCTATTATATATGATAACTGATTACTGATGAGCTCTTAACAAAATACCTCAGTCCTCAGTAAGAATATTTGAGTTCTACTCCGTATATTTTTTAACCTATGTAATAGTTTTTTTAAAATTATATGTATGGTTTTAATAGTCAAGTTTTTATAGCTCAATCAATAGTTTTAATCGTTTTTCATCACGAAGAAGAATTTATAAGTCATAGAGAAAAAAAGGCATTGAAATTAGAACAGGATACTGGTACCTTACCCATCTTGAATCTTTTGTCTTTTTAATGACCATTTCCCACGTTTGCGGATGCCATAGAAGGCTGAGTTTCATTCAAATTATTAATATCTTGATATCTACTTTGTAAGCTTATTCTTCATTCATCCTAAGCATTCATATGTTTTCATGGCAACTAAGGTTGCAATAACACAAAAAATTTAAACTATACTATCCTGGGCCCATACTTTCAAAAAAAGTTAAGAACTCGTAAGTTCATCCGCCAATCATCGACGGCCTTTCAAGCCAAATCCACCAATCATAGACAAGAAAATAGTGCCTAAGGAGTTACGTTCACTTAGCGAGTTTTGAAAATATGGCTCCTGGATAATAAATCAGCAGCCGAAGTACTTGGCTCATAGCTCAATTTTCAACTCATCTGAATATTCAATTCCGACGACGGTTTGTATTTTTGATGTACTAGGTGATATAGACGCTTTTTTCTCTCATCAGACAAGATTATATAATGACCTTTAGTTCTCTCCTCAAACGATAATATCGGAGCTTTGCTATCTCATAATACGAAATGATTTACTAACCCTCTGTTATTTCATAAGACAAGATAAAATATGGGAGCTGAATAACTGCGGTGGCTGGGAATTACTGAAAATTTGGTAAGGAACTTAGAAAGTTCAATATCGTTACCTCGTCGATGCTGTTCAAGTGGTTACTTCAAGACATATTGCATCTTATATCGAGTGATTTAAACCTGCTGAAATATTATTTAAATGAATTCTTATCTACTGCCAGACGTGAACTCGCAACAGATGATGAGCGCCAAGTTCTCGCAGCGAACGAACCTGTTGCTGCTGCCGCTCGTGTATTTCCATTGGCTGCTGGGCGTCATGTCGGAGTACCAACAGAACCTGGCACTGTACTCCATCTTCTCCATCCTCAACTCGGTGCTGGGTGTGCTCGTCATGGTCTTTCATTGCAGCAACAATGAGAAGGTAATCAATTTCATCCTGCAGTGGTATAGTTATGAAATTTAGAAACAATGAGAAAATTGTTAATAAAAAATATTCTCTGAACTTCAACAGAACTAAACTAACTAAACTAAATTTCCTACAAAGTTTGTTTACTCGCGGACACAATGTTAGGTACATGCATTTTAGTTTATATACAAACACTTTACACCCATATGCTGTAGAGAAAACTTGAAATAATTTCTTATTTACCAGGTTCGTAACCGCATGAAGGATATCTGGAGCAAGATAAGAGGCAAGAAAACAAACACTAAGCCTCTGACGACTGTGAGCCCACCTCCCAATCCGTAATCTCAAAAACATTTCAGGATATACCATCGTAAAATATTCCAAAATCAATGGTTTTATGATTATACACCATTGGGTTGATATTTCAGTAGCTACTATATAACATAACTCAGCACATTGCGAACTTATTGATCAACTTGGAACTCTACAAACGTTAATGGGTTGATCTAACTTTGTGATAAAAGGTATTTAGCATATCAGTTTGTCTATATTAGCCTGTTGCAATTATCTGTTTCAAATAATAATCTGTTATGTTTCGATCTTTTCAATTTGTCTATATCTTGTTGCAAACGTAACTTTATTAGAAAAAACTTCCTATCATTAACTAGCACTTAACTAGCACAAATTTATTATTAGCACAGACTGCATTAATATTATATGTTATTTTAGCAGCGAAATCAGCACCGAAATACCAATCGTTTCCATACAATAGTCCATATCCGATCGCTGGTACGTGTTTCATTAACGACATCACCGCTACAGGTGGAATTGATCAACTGATTGTACTTATTCAAGTATTTATATTTGAATCCTCGAATATTTTTTCATCGTTTTAAGTGTTAAAAACTCTTCCCACACTCTAACTGCCGATCGAATTACGGGGGCCGTTTAACTCAGCCGATCGACTTCCTCAGAAACCCGCGAACTGGCGAAGATCCGCGACTAATTCTTCATATTAATATTTCTCTTAAACCCACGCTGAAGTGACTTAAATAATAAACATGGACTATTTAGTGCTTTTCAGCGCAACTTTTATCTAAGGCAGGATTAATTGAATACGCGTGCATCAGGTTACTTTCTTTTTCTTCATAATCCCAGATGACACTGTTTCTGGAAAGAAACCAGTACAAATACAAAAAATTCAAACTAAAACAAACAAAAGGTCATTGAATATATAAACAATATTCGCAAATATTAAACATTACAGTAAATAACCAAGGCTTTCTAAGCGGCAAAGAAATATTCAAACAAGAGAACTAAGCTCACCAAAATTCGTTCCTGAATAAAGTTTGGTCTGTACTGCGCAGCCGACAGGTGACTAATGAGCGAAAATGTTCAGCAAGACCACGGAATTAAACTACTATTCTAAAGCAAATGTTGCGTTCACAACATTATCCATCTTGAATCTTCTGTTTTTTAATGACCATTTCCCACGTTTGCGGATGCCATAGAAGGCTGAGTTTCATTCAAATTATTAATATCTTGATATCTACTTTGTAAGCTTATTCTTCATTCATCCTAAGCATTCATATGTTTTCATGGCAACTAAGGTTGCAATAACACAAAAAATTTAAACTATACTATCCTGGGCCCATACTTTCAAAAAAAGTTAAGAACTCGTAAGTTCATCCGCCAATCATCGACGGCCTTTCAAGCCAAATCCACCAATCATAGACAAGAAAATAGTGCCTAAGGAGTTACGTTCACTTAGCGAGTTTTGAAAATATGGCTCCTGGATAATAAATCAGCAGCCGAAGTACTTGGCTCATAGCTCAATTTTCAACTCATCTGAATATTCAATTCCGACGACGGTTTGTATTTTTGATGTACTAGGTGATATAGACGCTTTTTTCTCTCATCAGACAAGATTATATAATGACCTTTAGTTCTCTCCTCAAACGATAATATCGGAGCTTTGCTATCTCATAATACGAAATGATTTACTAACCCTCTGTTATTTCATAAGACAAGATAAAATATGGGAGCTGAATAACTGCGGTGGCTGGGAATTACTGAAAATTTGGTAAGGAACTTAGAAAGTTCAATATCGTTACCTCGTCGATGCTGTTCAAGTGGTTACTTCAAGACATATTGCATCTTATATCGAGTGATTTAAACCTGCTGAAATATTATTTAAATGAATTCTTATCTACTGCCAGACGTGAACTCGCAACAGATGATGAGCGCCAAGTTCTCGCAGCGAACGAACCTGTTGCTGCTGCCGCTCGTGTATTTCCATTGGCTGCTGGGCGTCATGTCGGAGTACCAACAGAACCTGGCACTGTACTCCATCTTCTCCATCCTCAACTCGGTGCTGGGTGTGCTCGTCATGGTCTTTCATTGCAGCAACAATGAGAAGGTAATCAATTTCATCCTGCAGTGGTATAGTTATGAAATTTAGAAACAATGAGAAAATTGTTAATAAAAAATATTCTCTGAACTTCAACAGAACTAAACTAACTAAACTAAATTTCCTACAAAGTTTGTTTACTCGCGGACACAATGTTAGGTACATGCATTTTAGTTTATATACAAACACTTTACACCCATATGCTGTAGAGAAAACTTGAAATAATTTCTTATTTACCAGGTTCGTAACCGCATGAAGGATATCTGGAGCAAGATAAGAGGCAAGAAAACAAACACTAAGCCTCTGACGACTGTGAGCCCACCTCCCAATCCGTAATCTCAAAAACATTTCAGGATATACCATCGTAAAATATTCCAAAATCAATGGTTTTATGATTATACACCATTGGGTTGATATTTCAGTAGCTACTATATAACATAACTCAGCACATTGCGAACTTATTGATCAACTTGGAACTCTACAAACGTTAATGGGTTGATCTAACTTTGTGATAAAAGGTATTTAGCATATCAGTTTGTCTATATTAGCCTGTTGCAATTATCTGTTTCAAATAATAATCTATGTTCCGATCTTTTCAATTTGTCTATATCTTGTTTCATACGTAACTTTATTAGAAACAACTTCTTATTATTAACTAGCACTTAACTAGCACAAATTTATTATTAGCACAGACTGCATTAATATTATATGTTATTTTAGCAGCGAAATCAGCACCGAAATACCAATCGTTTCCATACAATAGTCCATATCCGATCGCTGGTACGTGTTTCATTAACGACATCACCGCTACAGGTGGAATTGATCAACTGATTGTACTTATTCAAGTATTTATATTTGAATCCTCGAATATTTTTTCATCGTTTTAAGTGTTAAAAACTCTTCCCACACTCTAACTGCCGATCGAATTACGGGGGCCGTTTAACTCAGCCGATCGACTTCCTCAGAAACCTGCGAACTGGCGAAGATCCGCGACTAATTCTTCTTATTAATATTTCTCTTAAACCCACGCTGAAGTGACTTAAATAATAAACAAAAAAGATCTTAGTTGTAATTTTAACAATTCCTTCAATTGCGTCAGAATGAAATCTACGCCAGTGATTATGACAGAATTTGGGTTATTGGAGAGCAGCCATAAATTAGCTTCTTAGATGTAATTTACTTCAATATGTAACTCAATAAATTTAAGCAGGACACTTGCTGAGTGAGTTATTTGCTTCAACTGGTTATTATGTGACACGAAATGATTGACAAAAATATACAGTTTCTGCAATGATAGTTTTCATTATTCCTTGGAAAAGTCCTGTTTCTCTTTGTTATTGATGTTCCGACATTTTTGGACAAATGTAAATAATTTAAATGCAATTAAGTTTAGTGAGGTTTAAGCATGTCTCTTCACAGTAGGCATTTTAAACCATCACTAACCCGTCTTTATTCCCAATTAAGGTTCATATCACAATACTAACTGCTATTATTGCGAATAAAAAAATATACGAACGGTCTTCATTAGCTGAGTGGCTCGCAGTGTTAATAAATATTTTATGATTTTTGCACAACCTAAGTGAGTGACATAAAATTTTTAAAATTTCATTTGAATGTTAAAAACTCCGGAGAGTTTGGAAGAACGCGCTATTGAAACGGACAATTTTTCACGAAGATACTAAATTTCTTCAGAATTAGTCAATGATTCGTAATTTTTAACTCGTAAAGCGGACAATTGGAAGAAATTTTCAGTCACACATGCTGATACGAACGTTGATTCAACTAATCAATCTTCGATGAAATCCGTTAATAATTACGTTTAATATGATATTGGGGTCATATTGAAACTCCAAGTAAGTCTACACGATCGCGCAGGGTTGCGTGGTTACTGATAAACATCACTTATTGTCATTATGTCGCACCGGTCAGGCAAGTAGGCTAAATAATGAATGCGTTGGTCTACTTTGGAACATCAATTTTTAACACTTGCTCTATAAATTTGGAATTCTTCCTAGACAACCGGAGTTGGAGTCAAAACATAGAACAAAATAAACAATAATGCATTTCCTAATTCGTATTGAAAAAGGTATGAACATGAAAATAACATAATTAATTAAAATAAATGATTCACAGCGATTTACATGAATTTTAATTCGTCATACTATATATATATATAGTATATATACTGTATACTTTACTCAATTAAGCTAATTTAGGTCTCTAATAGATAGTTTTTATGATTGTATCTGAAATTGTTAGGCAAAAATAGCCTGCATGCCGAATTTCAGATCTCAAGAGCAATTTGAAGTGGGCTAATTTTCGTTGTCAATGTTAACAACAAACAAACGCGAAGCTGAGTAAAGAAAAACGTGTTAATAATAAACAATGATGCATTTCCTAATTCGTATTGAAAAAGGTATGAACATGAAAATAACATAATTAATTAAAATAAATGATTCACAGCGATTTACATGAATTTTAATTTTCTATTTTCAATTTTTTTTGTCAGAGCCTAACTTGCTACATACGTCCGTTCAAGCTTTACAATATATGAGGCAATATACATAAAACAAATTTCAAGCACAATTATTCTGGACTCGGTTTCCCTAACAATGTATAGTGCAAATGGAATTAAAATCTGACCGTAATCATTCACCTCAGTGAACAGCTGCTGAGTGAAAAGAATCTAGATAATTAGATATACGTATAATTGCGTGACGTGTGTGTAAGGCAAATCTTACTTATTTATGAACTGTTCTATCAATTAAACTATTTTTCCGATTATGACGGCGATAAATTTTGGCTTTCAATTTTCAGTCATGATTACATTTTTTATTAATTAGATGCTCATGATACTTTTTAGAACGTTTTTAACGCCAAGGAATATTTCTTTCTACCTGTGAAAGAATATATTTTAGGATAAAGGACGCGTTTCATTTCTTTTATAGGAAAATTAGTTGAAAAACGGTCGGAATTCATGCCTTTTAGCTTAAGATGGAAAAACTGTTTAGTTTTCTTTGTTGAAAAGCTAAATTTCTCACAGCATTCATATGCAGAAAAAAAAATTTAAGCAATGACCTTCTCTCCCCGACGCAGATCAATGAGAGAAGGCAGTGTTGGTTAGTAACGATGTGGTTGTCGTGTAAGTCTCATGGATGTTGTTCTGTAGCCTTGACGCCCGGGAGCTCCAAGTTCCAGGGTCGACCGGCAGCAGTACGTCTGAGCGGCCCCTGCGACGAACTTAAGGCTTGTGAGCTTATAGGAAATTTTAGTACAAAAATGCCAAATTCAAGTAAAATTTATCGCCAAGATAAAATGGTTAACGTGTAATTAAATCTAGCCATGGTATTATTGAGGGATTTCCAAAAATTTCAGGAAAATTATTGAAGCGAAAGCCAATTTTTGCTTCTTCACAGTATGCGCACTTTTGATTGCCTCTCATTCTATACGAATGCATAAAACACAGTGTACTGTATGCACATTGCACCCAATATATAAAACATAAGTTAAATCTTTTACAACATATCCAGTTATTAATGGTTTGGACGATCATTTAAAAAAAATAACGTATTGTTTTGTGAAATTATAATTAAAATTCATTTTTATATTTTAGGGTATTTCTCGAATTTGTGTAAAATACAAGGTCATGTTCCACTTGTCTATTTTCTGACTGAAAGCGATATTTCGTTGACATCATCTGAATCAGCGATTCCAAAGTTTTCACTGTTCTTCCAAATTCACGAGAGAATAAACTTTTTCACCTCTTGATAACATTAGATAATTAATTACAATACGCATTCCAAATATTTTCCCACATGAATCTGGAAAATATTTCCTAATGAATTTGAAACCTTCACTCAGGAAAATATAACACCTTTTGACTTTTAGGCAGAAATTTTGACTTTTTGTTGCAGAAATTGTTTGACGAGGCAATCGTCTCAACTGTCGCGAGTCTTCTCACGATAAATCTTCCTGACGTCGTCGCCATGGCGCCCCTGACGAGGCTTCACAAATTCGGGATCGCCTTGTCGTTCTGGGCGATTTTCTCCGTCATCTCGTCCGCTGAGGCTGCACAAAGTTGGTTACGATTTATTGCAAGATTTTACAAAATAATTTTCCTTCGTTGCTCAAATGACAAAATAATAAGAAATGTTATGATATGTGAGACATTCGATCGTTAGGTTAAGTAATAGTGAGACATCATTAGGCATTATTGTGACCTTTAATATAGATAATTTGCAAGATTATATTGTCCCAAATTATGCGATCATTTCAGAGATTTTTGTATCGTTGTCAGCATCAGCTTTTACAGTTTGCCTTGAAACATGTAACGTTGCTTCACAGATGTAAACATGACTGTTCCTAGCATATGTGGACAGCGGTAAATGCAGTAAAATTAATGAACAACATTAATGACTAACATTGATGAGTAACATTGCTTCGCAGATACTGGGCAGTGTACTGAGTAAAATTAATGAACAACATGCAGATGTGGACGGCAAGTGGACGGATTGGTCACTTCTCGCCACGCCGTGCTCGAAGTCTTGCGGCGGTGGACTGAGATTGCAAATTCGTACGTGCTTCGCAGATACTGGGCGGTGTACTGAGTAACATTAATGAACAACATTAATGACTAACATTGATGAGTAACATTGCTTCGCAGATGTGGACGGCAAGTGGACGGATTGGTCACTTCTCGCCACGCCGTGCTCGAAGTCTTGCGGCGGTGGACTGAGATTGCAAATTCGTACGTGTACTAATCCTGCTCCAGAAGGTGCCGGACTGAGGTGTCTCAACAGAACCAATCAGCCCGCCGACCAGGAAATTTCGAATCAAGTTTGCAACCCACAGTCATGTTGGAGTGAGTTTACATATTTTCGATTTTGGGGAATGGCACAGAGCTATTTTTCATTATATTTTCTTACCAATTGAAATTTTATGTGAAAACTCCCATTCATCAGCTTGCAATATAGCAAATTTATGTCCATATGCACAGATTCCATCATTCAAATTTAGTTGCAGTAAGTTTACAATCATAATTGAAGAAATCTATGAACACACATCACATGAAATATGTAAGGAAGATTTTACAATAAAAAATGAAAATAGTTAATTCAAAATCTCTTTGCAACGATAACTTCGTACTCATATAAATTGTGTATACGTAGGTGGTTTTAAATTCATTCATATTTTTGTACCGTTCAGCAGTTACTTTTCTTCGTTTTCTTTTAGAGCCTTGGATGAAACAATGGAAATTTTTCAACCAATCAGAAACCCAATATAGGAAGTAAAATTTTTTTAAGAGTTATCGTGTGTCAGATTACCCAGTTCAGAAATAATTTAGTAAAATATTAACATTATTTAATTTCTTACTAGGCATGAACCCAGAATGGAATGAATGGACTAACTGTACGGGGGAGTGTGACTTTGGAACAATGAATCGCACAGCGAACTGCACCAATTACGACCCCAGTTACTGTGCGGTCGAGGACACGATGAAAATGCAAGTAAAGAACTGCAGTACGTGGAACAAGAAGACGTGCCCGAGTAAGTTTAGTTATGAGTGAAAGTGTAATTTATTTTACTTCTTATATGTTGATCGCAATGTGTCTAAAATCATACCTAAGTTTCATTTTTATTGAGAATAGTATTTATGGTTGTTATTATGTTGGTTATCAGTTGGCAGTAGAATTTGAGAATATTTCTAGATTTCTGGAATTTCGAAATAAAATTCTGCAGTGTGTTAGTGATTGTGGGAAACTCTGAATAAATTTGACTACTAATCCAACACTAAAGAAATATAATTCTTGGAGATGATGATAATAATACAGCTTGTCTACGATCCGACAATACGAATTTAATCTAATAATTATTATTCCACGATTATATTTTATTGTTCGAGCTTAGGTTAAAAATTTGTGTGAATAGGCTACCAACATTCAGCATATTAAGTTAAAACCACGTATTAATTGAGATGAAAAGCCTATGTGATATCACTCCATTTCACTTTGATGCTAAAAGCAGCATTATTTTTTAATTTCAGATTATCTATACGAGAGTTTTCGACCTGAACATTTCATGTTTAAGCAGATCAATGTTATACACCATGGTTTTCAGATCCTTGTTATACATCAATTATCATTTTCATATGTGTCACCAGACATGTTTTGCATCGTGTTCATTCTGTCAACAGATCCATGTTATAGATGATGTTTTCTCCTGTCAACAGATCCATGTTTATATATGTAATTATCATTATGATCATTAGTTTCTGTTCATAGTTTTAAAATTAAAGTATGTTGTTAACTATGAAAAATAATAAATGCTTTCATGCTCATATACCAATCCGAGTTGCAATATTCAGGACCTGAACCTACACCCCCAACGGCACGCCCCATCCCAACTATGGCGGCTGAGCAGAAGGTGGTTGCCACGGTGCTCTCGAAGGGCGCGTCCTCTGTGCTCATCTTCTTCGTGACGCTCACGCTCATTCTGTTCCTGGTGCTTCGTGTCTTCACCATCGACAGGGTCATTCAGATGAACATGGAGATCGCAATCCTCGCCGGACATCTCGTCCTGATTTTTCCTTCAACTCCCGGGGAAAATGAGGTATGATAACTCAAGAAAATTCCAAATTTCAAGTTTTAGTATAAACAGTTATGCTCTGAAAATGGCTTACCCGTTCCATTTACCTGCAATTTAAGGAATATAATTGTGCTGCTGATGATGTAATTTACTGAAACATAACTGAAATTGACCTGCTTTACCATGGAACGAAAAACTCTCACTGAATTTTACTGGACCGTCGACAGATAGGTTGCAAGATCGTCTCAATCGCACTGCACCTGTTCTTCCTGGCGTGCTTCATGTTCATGATGCTGGAGGCCGTCCACATGTACACTCTCGTCGCCTACGTCGTCAAGAAAGATGGACTTTTTGACCGCAAAGTCAACCTCGCCATCGGCTGGGGCGTGGCGGTGTTCATCGTGGGCGTCAGCGTGGGCTTCGAGTGGGCGCATTACGGTGCAGCTTATCAGTGAGTGGGCGCATTACGGTGCAGCTTATCAGTGAGTGGGCGCATTACGGTGCAGCTTATCAGTGAGTGGGCGCATTACGGTGCAGCTTATCAGTGAGTGGGCGCATTATGGAGCAGCTTATCAGTGAGTGGGATATAAACCATGATAAAATAAACATTCCAAAACTAATTAATTAAATAATCAAAGGATAAATCAGAAACATTTTTACGGTACTGAAGAAGTAGAGGAAATAGGTTTTGTTACGTGATAGTACGCGTTTTGTTTACTGTTGCAGCTGTTGGCTGAGGATGGATACCGGAGTTCTGATCGCTCAGCAGTTGCCGGTCATCGTAATCATGATCTTGACCTTTACACTCATCGAAGCTGCTGGCAATGCTGAGTACAAACCTCTCTCAGGTACTAAAGATTGGTTAGTTTTAGCATTCTCTAATTTTTTATATCCTTAATATATATCATTTGGTCTTTAATGACCGTACAAAGGCAGTATTTAATTTGAGCATCGGATAATTTTGTGTAGTTTGCAACACTATCTCAAAAAATAGTGTCGAGAATATTACCACTTATATTAGTTTTTTTTTAAATATGTATTAAGATACCGAATAAAATATGTATGAAATATGTATACTATATATTATGATATGTATTAAATAGGCATTAAGATAAGTACTAAATATATATTTTATGATATGCACTAAATATGTAGTAATACATGTATTAAATATGTATTCAGGCATGGACAAAAAACAGTTGACGAGCGCCCGGTTCTCGCAACGCACCAACCTGATCATCATGCCCATGGTCTACGCTCACTGGATACTGGGCACTCTCGCCGAGTACGAACAGAACCTCTACCTCTACTCCATCTTCTCCGTCATGAACGGCATCCTGGGCTTCTTGATCTTCTCATTCCACTGCAGCAACAACCAGCAGGTAATGGTCTTCTCATTTCAACAACCAGCAGGTAACGGTCTTCTCATTCCACTGCAGTAACAACCAGCAGGTAATGGTCTTCTCATTCCACTGCAGTAACAACCAGCAGGTAATGGTCTTCTCATTCCACTGCAGTAACAACCAGCAGGTAATGGTCTTCTCATCCTACTGCCGATCATTCATATGAAAGTTAATTTCTTTCTATTGTTTCTTAGCTACAAACAAGTCGCAAATAAAATATTCCTGAATTTAACAAATTTTTGAGTTATTTTAATGTAAATTAAGTCAAATTTGGATCAACTTGTTTCTCGCTCGCTGTTGTTAAAATTTATTTATCGTCTTGCTTTTAAATGGTTTTAATCGTAATGCTGCCACGCCCGCGATATATGTATAAAGTTTCATTTCTAAGGTGATATATTTCCTGATGAGATCCAATATTTATAAAGTATTTTTTTATAAAATATCGGATAAATATATCCCAAATTTTTACTTGGACTTGCATGACATTGCAATATTTTTCTCCATGCAAAAAAACGAATAAAATTTAGCAATTATTAAACCACCGTTTTCTTTTCGTCATCAGTTAATATAAAGCATATTTCAATTTCTGCCCTACCATCCATTCAATATTACTTATAACTCAATTTATATTTACTTACGATAAACACCACAAATATATTTTTGAAACGTACCATTTTTTTCATCTGATGCAAACTCGCGTCACTTTATTAACGTTTCTAATTTACTTATATTAACATATATATATCTCTTATTTTCATAGTTACAATTTTCTTCATAATTCAAGTTTTATTGAAGGCTAAAAATAACTCTCATAGGCAATTTTATACTGCTTTCCTGCATTTCCCAAAATACGTCTTCTCCATTTGACAATTACCTCCATATCTTATCTGTTTCATCTCCCAACTCTTCAGGTCAGGGAGAAACTGAGCAAGGCTGTCAAGAACCTGCGAGGTGGCGTCTAATGAATTCGAGGTGACGAAGTGTCTAACTTCCTGAAAGCTTAGAAGATATTATCAACATAGCATAGCATAGAATCTTCGGCGTTGATGAAATGGGCCTGTTAATGCCTGTCGCCTATTGGACTTTTCGTGACTTGTTCACTTATCTAACGACTGTTCTTATGGACAGAGATTTTCAACTGACGTTGGTTATACATTATGATTTGACTTTACTAGCCGTAGGATGCTAGTCATTTCAAATACTGAAAATTTACTTTTTAATAGCTTTGTCCAGTTTGTTCTTGAACGCGTTCTTACTCGGACAACAACAATGTCACCAGGTACGCTGTTCCACTTATGTATCAGTAACTCGAAGCGATAAGAAATATGGTCGTAACGTGCCTTGCACGGAAAATTTTGCTATTTCTATTATCTAATGTTAATGTTAATGTTCACGTGCATTGTATGCTTCTAACGTATAATGTCCCAGCAGTGCTTAGACACGAGAATAACGCATTCAGTGTCACCCGTAATGTTATTTCTCCTACAAATTGTCCTCACATCCTTGTCCATGACAAAATTTCTAGCTTTGTATTTAAGGCGTTAGAATTGCACATAAAACTTTTAGGACCATTGAGAAGTGAATTTAATGTTTTTAGATTACAGCGTCGTAGTTTTCAGATTACAGCGTTCCAAATGCATATGTTCTACTTCTTTGTACATGCTTTCAATAAATCAAATTTTCAGAGCTCATGTCCCACGTTTTAACTTAAAAGGGAGAAATACGCTCTAAGTGTTTGCTGTATTTCTAACGAAAATGTTTATATTAATTGAATCACATTCCAATTCTTGGGTAATTTGCACTTTATGCAAACCAATAGTATAAATTATTTCTCTAGAACATAAAGTCTTAAGCCATGAAAACGAGAACATAATGCAACCAAATTTTAGTTGAGTTGTGTTCGATGATATGATTTATTGCCTATGAAGTAGCGTTGCTCTGGCAAAAGCTCTCAGTAATCGCCTTCAAATTATATAACAGTAACACCTGTCAACGTCACTTGAGTCGCCATCAGTAAATACTTCGCTTAACTTGTCACTTGCCAATTAAAGCAGTATAATACTGGTCTAAAATATGAACTGAGGCGTTCGATCAATAAAAAAAAGCTTCAACTCCATTTAAACGCTACTTAAAAACTTAGATTCAGTTTGGTGCATGAAAAGATCGTTCTGATCATAGACTGCGACTGACATATAAAACAGTATTAGATTAGCCGTTCGAGGAATGAAATAGAATTAAATTTAAAATTAACTGTGTGATTTATGCTACATTAATTAGAGTGTTTAATCCAAGCTATTGCCTACATCATGTTTGACCGTAATTTAGAACTATTTGTTCATATCGACGAGAGCGAAGAGCCTTATATTTGGTAAACTTTTAGAAATTGTGAGCCATCTTGCGTCGGCAGTTGTTTATGTCTTCAGTGTCACATTTTAGCTACATTCTTTAGGCCAGGCTTTCTTGATAATCTAATATTATATCTCAATGAAATCACTTCACAAATGACTGTATCGAAGGTTTTTAGCATCTTGTATAATTTTTTTTATTCTCTCCTTAATAAACTATGCACTATGAGTGTAACTATTGCTCAGTATAATTATCAGCACACTTTGTTGATAATTGTTTTTGTTTTATTCACGTACAATTATAAATAGATATGTAATGTATATTCCATTAAAATAATCCTTATTAACGTTGACGTCATTGATACTTTTAGGTAGCATGGCATTTTTTCTCTAAAATTTAATTGTAAGTAACCTCGAAGCCTTGGATGCTCGAGACTGAAGGCAAGAATGTGATAATAGCTTAAGTAGAATAAGTCATACCAGAGCCTATATATGCATTTCACAGGAGTTAATAGATGACCTCAAAGCATCAGTTTCACAAAGCATGACCTTTGCCTTAATTTGAAAAGCGTGCACAAGTTGTCACGTAAATATGATCACAAATTGCACTTTTGTCACTAAATTCTAGATTCGTAACCTGCCGATCAGTTCTCACACGATGGTTATGGCCCTAGTGTAGCGACGAAGCTCGACAGGTGTTTATTCATCAGTAATGCCATGTTGTGTTTAGAATATTTTTTTATGCACACCTATGATGGCACAATCTAGAGATGAGCGGACCTTAAAATTTCTCCTGTTCAGTAATAATCCTATATTTCTTTTATATAATCTGATAAAATCCTTTTAGAATGATATTTAATCTACATTTACAGGCAGTGTTTAGCTGACTATGATGCATGGATTGCTGGAACAAAATTAATTACGTACTATATTCCATTATACAATCTTATGACGAAACTCGCACGAATATAAATTGTATTAAGTAATATAAAAGAGGATAAGTAAACACAGATATGAACTTGATTGTTCGTTTTTTGTCTCTTCTTAAAACTAGTGAGAAGGAAGCTGACTCTACATGCTAGCGTCGAGCGCATGTCGCCGCGCTGGTTGGCTGTTCGGCTGGAAAACATCCAATCAACTGGCAACTTTCGTCAACACGTTTGACCAAGTTATATCTGAAGATATTTTCAAATTTAACTTTGGAGATCCAATTTATTTCGGCATTGAAATTATTACGTGCATTACCAAAGTGGACCAGCATTGCCAAATGGAAATCAGAGGCTGGATTTCGGTTGGCAAATCTGCTTTAATATTTTAAGTTTTTAATTTTTAACTTCGATATCGTATCAATCAAATAATTTCTAGCGCCTCGCAAAAATCTCAATTTAGGCAAAATGTAGAGTAATAATGTCTTCTAGAGTCAGCTCTCTCCTCTAAACATCAATGTATCTATTTCGCTTACTGCAATCTATTCATGGAAGAACACGAATAATTGGCTCGTACCAATATGGAAGAATTTCTATGTTATATGTTCCGAATTTGTAATCATCGGGCTTTAATATGATGGATTGTAAACATCGAGATCATTTGAAGAAGCTTATGAGCTATAAATAATTGAAGACGTCATTCAACATTAAGTAAAAGTTAGTGTTAGAACTTCCAACATTCATTAAACTCTTGATAATGTGCAAGATAAGGAGCTTCGTAGTTCGCTGATAAATAAATAATTTTACGGTGTAGTTGTTAAGCGAAAAGATCAAAGTGATAATCTGGGAATTGAACTGGAAGCGACCGGTTAAAACTTTTCAAAAATGTAGTGTTTCAATGCGAAAAAAGATATGAAAATGTACCGATTGTTTCGATCAATGAACAGAATTGCTATTGTATCCTTGATGTTATTGAGGGGAGAAAATACGATAGGCAATTAAGAGTTTTATCGCTTATCATCCTTCCAGTGAGGGGAGTTTCTAGCAGTGGTGAGACACGAACCTGCTTTGTGATCGAGGCTCTTTTCTGGGGCGATAAGTCCGTCGGAAATTTAATATCAGGCATGACAGTGAATGTCCTTGAACTAAAGATCGAAAAAAAAAAATTCGTGAATCATAGCAAGTCTAATTATTGAAATGCTGGTCTATAGGTAATTGGAAAATACGGATGAATTATCGAAATGATAGATACTTGGAAGAGGACACATCGCCGAAATAGAGACCCGGTCTACACGCTTAGACATAGACCGTGCCTCGCGCCGTGTTGCAGATGACATCAAGACGTTTATTAATATACCGTGCCTCGCGCCGTGTTGCAGATGACATCATGACGTTTATTTTCCCCAATTCTTGAAGAGTCCAGCTCGCTGACACCGGCAGTTGCTGCCCCAGAGGTTACAGCGACATGTGCTGTTGTAGCAGCAGTCGCTGGGACGATGGTCGCAGGAGCTCATGCGGCGGATGCAAGATCTCCTGAACAGGTGAATCATAGACGATCGTCTGAACAAACAGAACACCAGCAGAAAGTTTAAAAACAATCAACTCAAAAGTTGTAAAAACACTTGATGTTTGGTTTGTTGTATCCATGAAATAATGGGATATATTATTCAACGGACTGAGAAATTGTGCGTGATGATTTTGCATGTTATCGTTCGGCTGGGTGAAAGATAAACAGAAAGCAAGTGCTTATGGTTAACGCGTGATAGTGAGCCGAAATAAGGTGTGCCATTTTAAGCTTGTTCTCTACCATTCGTAAAACTTCTAATAGGAAAAGCATTAAACAACATTAAAGGGATGCAGCAGAACAGCTAAAATTTATAACGAAATTAATCTAGAAACCTATAGTTCATCTTTAAAAACAACGTAAAATAAATAAAGATTGAAATTGGATCCAAGTTCGATAGAATGCTATGTCATGTAGTGACAACTGCAATGAAGCCAAGACTTAAAAAAATTATTTTAAGGGGATGAATGGGATAAATATACTAAGTATTGAGAGGCAAAATTTCTATCTCATATGATTGGGCTATAAATCGCCCATTTATAAAAAATTAACAATACAGGAGAGCTAATAATACAAAACAATTTAGGGATAAGTAACGCAAGTTCAGTTTAAAAATGTGAGCTTGACAAGAAAATGACCAAAAATAGGCTCCGAGTCTTCAAAATCACACGAAAGGAACTTAATTTTGAAGATCCATAGGCAAAGCAGAGCTTTAGTGACAATGCGTCAGAGACAAACAAATTTTGCCAATGCTAATCTAGGGATAAAAATTTCCGAATTTGATATATTTATTCAATGGTGCAAGGAAATATGAAATGTCTGCTATGAGGATACAAAAACAATAATTCAACTTGAAATAAGGAACTAGTGACATAAATTGAGGAACTGCCAGTTCATTTGTTATCTTTTCCACAATTTGATGTTGTGTGCAAATTCTTCAGGTGCCAGTTATTTTAATAGGAGCTGTGTTGGGTCGGCAAAATGAAGGAAATGCAAAGACCGATGCAAAATTTTATAACAATACAACCATTTATAGAATATTTACAAAATTATAACGCTGTGATAATTTACAACATGATTTGGAACGTTATATATAGCAATTATTTTATAATAAAACACTATTAAAGAGAACGATATAACAATTTAAATCGCAATCTACGACATCATTACGATATAGCATGTTAAGGCTCAATATACGCGGTTATTACGATATAACATGTTGAGGCTCAATATACGCGGTTATTACGATATAGCATGTTGAGGCTCAATATACGCTGTTATTATGATATAGCACGCTGAGGCGAAAAATAAATAATGTTAGAAAGTATTTATCTTATCTTTACTTTAAAGTAAAATTTAATATCTGACGGCACTCACTTGTCAGCCTGAGGACGCGCCAGCAGACGCTCCAGCAGTTGAGTGTAGTCGTCCAGAGCCAGGGCGTTGTTCTCTGGGTCTGTAATCGTCGTGATGATTTAAAATATTTCAAACAATCAACTGCCTAATGTTTCATTCAACTTCATCAAGCATTACGTAACTTTCGAGCATTCAAGCGTAACATAATACGTCGATAATTTTGTACTCGGTACATATTTATTACTAATAAAAATAATTATAGAACTACTTAGAGGAGAAAATTTTTCCACCAGATAAAATCTTGAATTCACTAAGAACAAACAAATTTGACTGATTTGAAATTTGTAGTGTAATCGTTAATAACGAACTGAAGTATTTTTTTAAATGACATTTAGAAGTAAGTTATTGAAATTACGCCTAAAACATGGCTCAAATAGATCAAGTGCCGACTAAAACGAGCTCGACTGATAATGCGAATCATCCTTATAGAAGTTTTAAAACATCAAATTTGTGCTACGCAAAACCTTTATTCAGCAATATGCAGTCGCACAAACGAGTAATTCCGTCGTAATTGTGTCTTAGTTGAGAAAACAGAAAACATATGTAATCGAATACCGTTTGTACATTTATGTCAATTTAATTAAAATTTTTTAATTTATTGATATTGAAACTTTATTCGGCAACCGAATACACTTTTACCAAATTAATTAATATTTTGAAAATCGGTAATGATTTTAATACCATAATTTGGTTTGTACCCTGCGGAGCATTGCAATAGACAATTTTTATTGTATTATTCAATTTATTTGTTTCTGAATGTATAAGGGCGATATTCATTTAAGTGTTTGGAATGTTAATTGTAAATCGAATGTTAAATATTGTATTGTTTGATACCTCGACGGTTACATATTGTAATTTGCTATCCAACTCATCGATATCACTTTTGAATATTACTTTTCGCAAATATAAATATGAGATAGCAACTAAATAAGATCACTCAATAAAAAATTATGCCAGTTGTTGCTACGTCTCTACATCAAGGTTGTTGCATGAGTGCAACCAAGACTGTTGAATTTGACCAGCAACTTAGCTAAGTTCAGTCGGGCGTTGGGACGACAAGTTCAATGTCGCAACTTCCTCTCCTCGACATCTGTTTGAACTTTAACTTAATTTGCTGTGAACCAACATTTCAACTCGTAGAATAATTTAAAACTCTCAAGCATTCAGATGAAAAATTATATATAAAAGATTTAAGAAGGTATTTTCCGTCCCAGCTGCTTAAATAGTGCAGCTAAGTTTCAATTTTATTAGAAATTAATGCATTAATATAAGTGCTCATCTGCAAAATCGTAAAGAGACAAAAATCCAAGAGCTTTCTTTAAAAAAACGAAAAGCCCACTAGTATCAAGCTAGGCTCACACTCCCACCAAATCCTTGACGTTCAAATCTGGCTGTGAATAGAGACTTGTTCAAATTACCGCAATATTACCGTAAAATTACCACAAGCGTAAAGACTGCACACATAACCGCGTCCTAAAAGTCGTCATCAGCTCTTTTTCCTCGGGTGCGGAAATTACTTGCGTCGTTCACAGCTCCTGACAATCTTTACTCGCAGATTTCGATTGCGCAATCGCGAGCAAACCGCATTAAAAAGTCGTTGCGTTACATTAGTAAGCTGGGAACTTCTTTCCACAGTAGCCGAGGGGAATTAGAAGTTGTTATAAATTAATTGATTATCAGTGCAGCAATCAAGCTTGAATCAAAAATGGAAATTCGTGAGTAAAAATAGTTGACCCAATTTTAAATTTTATCACAAAATTTTGGCTTCATAAGTTCGTGGGCGAGACCTCGGGAATCTGATCGTGCTAAATTGCAAACGGAGAATACCAAAAAAAAATGAAATTCAAAATTTATTGTGCAGCATGAAAGCTCTTCTTCCATTCTTGAAGTAAACAGATCATATATTCATGTAACTCAAATATTATTTTTGCGTAAAAAGGACTGGTTGACCCGGCAATTGGAGGCAATGTTTTAAAATTATTCTTAGCAATATGTCGAATTATAGTCTTAAACAACTGTTGATACAGAATTACTGTTGTCTCATAAATTTCAAAATTCATACACATGTGAACATGGTAATGCCGATGAAACCAATGTATTCTCCAGTTGACACGCAAACAATTTATTGGGTCATGTTGTCCAAGCAATTACACACATTTTTTGCACGTAATACTGATACAATATCTTGACGGACAAATAACTGGGTCACGATGACCCACCTGATGATAAAAGTGCATCACTATTTAATCGTTGTCACTCTCATTTCGCTGAGTGAAGGAATGATCGAAACTGATCGAAAGAAGAGCCTAAAACGGAGTTTAGGCTTTTCTTTCGATCAGTTTCGATCATTCCTTCACTCAGAGAAATGAGAGTGACAACGATTAAATAGTGATGCACTTTTATCATTAGGTGGTTCATCGTGACCCAGTTATTTGTCCGTCAAGATTTTTAGAGCCTCTTTTAGGGCCCCTTACCTAAAACTCCGCAAGCGTTTAAAATTTCACCAAAATGAAAAGTACTGCAATAAAACACTGAGAAGTAATTTACACAAACTGAAACTGAATATGTTAAAACTGTTGACTCCCTTTTCTCTATTAATACTGAGACCAAAGACTCATGAAACGTTAAACTTTCCATACAATTAAACACGGATGCGGATTAAATTTTCTTTTCCATGAAAAACTTTTTTAATTTATTCACATAGTGCCTGTGTTTGTAGGGAAGTTCCTGGTATAACGAGAACCAGGTTGTAAACTCCTGGCAGTTTGCGAAGCTGAGTTTGCCCAGCTATGCGAATAACGTCGCGGAGTTTGGTTATCGTCCCATTAAAGTTACAGCGTTACAATTGTATGAACTTTTGATATGTAAGCAGGCGATTAAGCGAACAGAACAGATTGTTGCCTCATTGCAGATTTTATTTGTGGTATAAAATTCTCAGTTCATCATTATGGTGTGTCTTTGAGATGCATTTCAAATAAGGCAACGCATTGGGCAAAAATCAATCTATTCGTTTCCAAATTTGATAGCTGATGTTTCCTGAAACAATATTCATTATTTCAAATCGACTTCTCAATTCATTTTTTGCACATAGATGTATAAAAACTACAATTTCTTTGCGCTTCACAAATTCTTCCTAATTATACTGAATAAGCCCTGAATATTGTTGGTGGCTAATCAGTAAATAAACATTCTCTGACCCCGAACACTTGGCCAATGATCGCAAAATAAAAAAGGATGAATACAAACTGATAAGTTGAGAACTATAATAACAAAAGAGCGATATATACAAGAAAACAAATTACAAAACTATAAACCGCTTGCTTTTTTGGCCTTTGCTTTTCACTTCTTCGGATTTTCTAAGTTCGGAGCCCCTCTCTGTGTTGGATCACTTAGCAATGACAAGTTACATGACGGATTTACACGAGGTGACGTACTAGTTGACTCAAAAAGAAAAATGACAAAACCCGTAGCCTAGCTATATGAAATTATATCTCAAGGCGGTCCCTAACAATATTGCCGCGGCCGCTTTAACCTAAGCCAACACTTTACATGACAGACTCCTCGAAGACGGCTTCGATATAAGCGGTGTAAATCTGAATAATCTCGTCCAGTCTTGAGAACTCTGAAGAGTCGAAATTGTTCGGTTAAATGCATCTTTTATGGCGAAAACTGGCATAATGTTTTTGAGTTTGAAATACGAGGCATTTTGATTAAATACTTCAGATATAAAATTTCGTTCTCAAACTAACATTCATTAACTGCACTTCTAAATATTCTGATTAAAATAAACATTATATTTGTAAAAATGTTATGTTTGTGAAATGATTCATTTCATAATTCGGTGAGAGAATATCTTCACAATACAGCCTTCACTGGACTTCTGCCGACACTATTTCACTAATCATACTTCGTCAGAAGTTCTGAATAATATGGGTTTAAAAATTGTTTATTAAAGACAACACTTCTAAAGAGGCCAGTGTCTCCGATTTTACACCTGTACAATGAATATATTTTATTTTTAAATATATAAAATATATTTCTATTTTTTCTTTATAATATTAAATAAGTTCTAATTTTTAAAATTATTTATACTGTCAATTGATTCAAGCTTTGTCTCCGACTTTACCTAAGTTTGCAAAATTTCAGATCGTTTGGACAGGTAGAAATGAGTTAAATCTCGATTATAAAATTTGTAGCAGACAAACAAACAACAAGAAGCGAAGTTAAAGAGAAGTTCTGAAAAAGTTGAACTCACGCCTGACCAAGTCCATTGTAGAAGTCAGTGTCTATTCTGTATACGATAGAGCCTCTATACCGAGCCCAAGACCGATAACGGTCCACTGAACTCTACAAACAATGAGGCCAAATTTTAATATCTGATTGCTTTCTCCGTTGTTCATTATACAGAATCAATAATAATCTTTTAGGAGTCGTCAAGAAGAATAGTATGGATAATGAGACGAGGCAGATTTTCGGAAACGTTCACACGAAAATAGTTCCTAAGAAGAATGAACAATTATTTAAAGTTCATTATATAAATTTACGATGCAATGCTGTGTTTAGGAGAATGGCAGGCTTTTGAGCCTCAAAAAGAAGTTTAAATCCTGCCACTTAAAGTCCTTTTGTTCATGTGTTGATTTTTTCTTAAAAAATACAGGGTCGTGTGATAAATCTTATCCGTGTTCTCCGTACATCAGAAGTGTTTGAATTCACACTAAATAAAGACTAATAGATCGAGAAGGCAGTATTGCTAAATTTTAATAGTTCTGAAGCGAAACAATTACACAAACTAAATAGAAAACTGTCAAATTTTAAGGTTTAAATGTTCTCGCAATCCGCGCAGGAAATTTTTCCCCTTTGAGCTATCAATATATTAAACAATAAACGTCATTATTTGTTTTATTACAGAGCTTAATATTTCAACTTAAATAATATTCGCGCTAAGTTTGAATCGTGAGGCTCAAAACGACCCAAGTTTTCGAATGTCGTTTAAAAGTTTGAAAACTCACAAACTACCGCATCAATTTATTAAGCTGCAAG